CCATACCCAAGAGTAACATGTAAAATGCTGCTTTGTATTTTCACCTTTTGTGCACGTGAGACTGAGAAGGAGAGGACGGGGGCTCTGGCAGCTCCAGGATGGAAGGGCCAGAAAGCTGAGACGAGCAAGGCTGGCGGTGTCTTCAGGGCCCAAGGACTCTACAGACACGCCGCCCTTAGCTCTTGACAGACAAACAGGTCTCAGTGCCCCCGGATCCCTCATCCTGCTCCAGGCAGCCCGGAGCTGTGAGGACAGAATGCCCGTGGGGTAAGGGACTGCTGCCCCAGGTTCAAGTCCGAAGGGCCAGGGGCCTCTGCTTCAGCAGGAGGAGGAGCAGGCTGCGAGCGGGGTGGGTGGGTGCCATCCGGGCAGTGTGCAGGCAGTGTGGGGCCGCGGGGACCCTGCCTTCCCTCACCTCTGGGCTGCCGGCTGCTCTCCTCTCCACCACCCCCACCATCGCTGGTGCTGTCTGGAGTTCCGGCGAGAGAAGAGGGCAGCCTGGCCAGCGGAGGAGGGAAGGACCGAGGAGGGCGGCAGGGAGAGGGGGATGCGAGGGAGCGTGGGGGAGAACAGGAGCCACTCTAACCTTCACGTTCTCCTCCTTGACAGGGCCGGGCCTCCGAGATACAGCAGCCCCGAGTCCTGGGTGGTCACCTTGGCTTTTAGGGTATTTATTTTCTTATTTGTTTGCTTTGATGGTGGGGGTGGGGTGGGCTGGCCCTACACCCCCCACTTCCCCTCCTTGTTCTCCTGGTCCCCCCCCTTCTAGCTTTCGGGCCCTGACTGTGCTCCCCTCTGAGGGTTCTAAGACCTGTGGCATCACCGATGGTGGGAACCAAAGACACTCCCCCACCACACCCAGCTCTGGGAGATGGAGGAGAGGCCCTGGGGACCCGGGGGACTCTTCCTCTTCTCTCAAAGGTTCCTGAGGCCTGGACAGGCAGGGGTGGGGGGGACCCAGGAGGAGGCCGGTGGTTGCAGGGCGGGGTGGGGATATGGGTCCCGGGGCGAGGCAGAGGTGAGAAAGGAGGGCAGCATGGGTTTCGGGGCCCGCAGTCGGAGGCTGTGGCCAGGAGTGCCAGTACAAGGGGTGGCATTTGTCTCTGCACCTAGGTTTGTGTCTGCACACACGTGTACACAAACAGCACCCTGGCACCCCCATGCTTTTGCCCCGCAAGGAAACCCCTTGCTGAGGGCCAGGCCCTCTAGCGTGTCCCTCCCCTCCCTTCCCCTCCCTGGCTCCAGAGGGCTCTGAGACACACGCTCAGCTCAGCTTCTGGGTCTAAGCACGGGGAGCAGCCAGGAAGGCATTTCGACAGGAGAAAACCAGGCTCCTGGGGAGGGAAGCGTGGCATCCCCAGGGACAAAGTCTTCCCAGTCGTCCCCACGCCCTCTAACCTCCTCTGTCCCTATAGAGATAGACAGATTTGTTTTCATGGCTTCAGCACTTTTTTTTTTTTTTTTGCCAATTCCTGCTTTTATGTGTCACTACTCCACAGACAATGCAAATATTCTGTAGCAAAAGAATAATGTGTGATAATGTTCATAACAACGGGGCACCCAGAAGGCAGAAATAATACCTGAACCCAGCCTCCTCCGAAGGCAGCTTTCATGTGTATCTTCCAGGCGAATTAATCTGATCTTTGAAACAAAGAAAAAAAATATGCTTTTAACATAATGACCTGAATGGTTCCAGAGAGTGGCCTAATGCCAAAATTTTTGGACCCAAATTACAAAAATATTTTGGACCCAAATGATAAAAACCTGCCCCAAAGCTGCATCCAGAAAGCGCAATTAGGGCCTTGTTTTTCCACACTTGGGCCTGTTCAAGCGCGGACAATGGGTGCGCATCAGGCCCGCAGGGATGGGGGTGGGGACAGGCACGGGCAGGGAAGGCGGGCTGAAGCCAAAGGAGACACTTGCACACTCTGATCGATACCGGGGACTTGGGGGGCTCTCCCCTCAGCACCCCAGAATTTCCCTGGAAGGACTCGGGGTTCTGCAGGCCACAGCTACTGTACACCAACCTCGGTCGAGAGTGCTGGGGGCTCCAGCGGAGGCCTTCCTGGGAGACTGAGGCTGGCAGGCCCAGCACAAGGGGCACTAAGGCACTCATTTTGCTCCAGTCGGCGGCCTCTCTGAGGCCTGCCGTATCCAATTCCGGAGGGTAGAAGGGTCTCTTGTGGTCAAAGGAACCCCTGAATGAAGTCACTAACACACAACGGCGTCCCTACGCCTCTCCCGTCCCCTCCCACGCAGAGCCCACTTTGTCAATGCCCTCCCTCTTTACCCATCCACACGAGGGCAAACTCAGCCGGGCATGGGCACGCACATACCCTCCTTAACCCAATCTTTCCTGGGCACCCATCAGGTTTTCAGCATAGTATTAGATCCCCCAGACCCGATAGGAATGACTTTGCCCTGGAGGGCCATCTCATTTGCTCCCTTCAACGTGCTGTCCTTTGGGAAACCTGATTGACACGGCCTCATATACAGAGCAAGCCCAGAGGCCCTGGGGAGTCTTCTGGCTCTTCCCGGGCTTGGCTTAGTGCTCCATCCCCATGGGAATGGGGACAGAGGCCCCACTCGCCTCCATCCCTGAGCAGGACCCTGGGAGGTCAGCGTGTCCTGTCTGCCCAGAGAACCAAACCAAAAATGGCTTCATCAGGAATCTGGCCAGAGTTCCAGTGTACACACTCCTCTCCATTTTCCCCTGCGGGGGCCTCCTTACCTTTGGATACCGCCTAGGCCGGGGGAGCTCTGAGGCACCCGTGGCTGTGGCACAAGGCAGAAAATCTAGCTCCTCATCTAGCTACTGGAGGGGAAATTTGGAAACGTACCCTGCTTTCTAGACCCCAGTTTTTGAGAAGGTCCAGCAAGTCTGATTTTGGCCCACGGGGGAGGGGGTGTCTCCCGGGGCAAAGAAGGCTTCGTGTGTCTAACCCCTGCCCCATCCCCTGCAGAAATACAGCAGTGGCTGAAATGGAAGGAAGGTTCTTGGTGGTCCCCCCCCCACCAGTCACTGCACTCCCTTGGGTTGTGTCTCTGTGAAGATGACCTGGGGCCCACTGAGGACAGGGGACTAGGCTGGGACTGGTGACAGGGGAGAGTGGAGGGCACTGGCAAGTGACTCTTCCCACCTTCCCAGGAGCTGGGAGAGGGGAAGGACAGGGGATGGGAGAGAAAGTACCCTTCGGGAGCTTTTAAGGGGTCTTGTAGGGGGCAAATGGGGGAATATTGGTAAGGGAAGTTGGTGGTGTGTGTGGACAAGTGGAGGTCCCACCCAGGATTTCTGGAATGTCTGGAGGGTCTTGGGTTTCCTTTAAAGGGGTATGAAGTCGACGACCTGGAATAATTTGAGGACATTTGTAGGCAGGAAGCTGAAAGGCTGGAGGGCGCTAGGGTTTCTCCAAGGCCTGTAGGGAGGGTGCCTTTAGAGAGCTCATTCAGCAGCCTGCTGGTAGGGTCAGTCTGTCTGTGAGAAGGCTTGAGGAGGATTTCATTTTTCTGCAATGGAACTGAGGCAACAGAGATCCTTGTGTTCCCCCAGTGCTCCGTTCTAAGCCCTGAGCCCGTAGGGGCACCGGGGAGGGCGGGAGGGAAGAAAGTAGGCTGTCGGCACTTTATCTCTTTCTTTCCCCACCGCCGGCTGGTGGCTGGTGTGCTCCCAGTTCTGGGAGGGTAAAGAATTGATGCTGTGGAAGCTTCTAGAAAGCCTTTCCCTTGGGTAGCAATCCTGAGACCCTTTGGAGGCTGACAGAGGAGTGGGGCTGGGGAGCTGTGCCAAGCACAGCCCTGAGAGCGCCCTGAGAGCGCCCTGAGACTGGGGAAGCCAGGCTCCAAACTGCTATTCTGGGGAAACACAGGACTCCAGGCTTTACCCTATTTCAAAGTGTCCCCCACCTCCCAATTGTGTGGTGACTAGTCAGACATTCTCTGTAAGGGGTGTATAAAATGAAAATTGGCCATGGGCTTGCATCTAACCAGGGGGAATAGCATCCAGACGGTGCGGAGAGGTGACCTCCCCCCCACAGTGGATAGAACAGTTGGCCCGCTGGCAGGCCGAGGGGCGCACCTCTGTTGGCACCGCGATGAAGGATCCCAGGGGATAGGAATGGGCTGGGATGAAGCAGACACACGGGCTCTAGGAATCTAAGTCGTAGTATTTTTCAAAAAAGGGGCTGAGAGTAGGGCGGTTGGAGGGACGGGGACTGCTTCCTGGCAGACACTGGGGCTCAGCGAGGGACCCACAGCTCTCTCTCCGGAGAACTCTGCCAGGCAGCTAGAATCCGGACCCGGATTGCGGGGCGGCGCGAGCTGCCGGCCTTGGGACGCTGCATTACTGGACTCGGATTCTCTAGGCTGGATGGGGAGAGCCAGGTCAGGACATTTGCGCCGACAGCGACCCTTCTCCCTCGGACCCCAGCTCTCCAGACGCCGAGATGGAGTGGGGGTGGGGGCGCACGGGACAGGCCTCCGAGGCCGAGTGGAATGTGCGGAGACTGTCAGTGTTAATGCCCGCGGGGTTCCGCCGGCCTCCTCCACCCGGACCCTTGGTGCAGCGAGCAGGTTCTAGAGATGTTCCCGTTTCTGCGCCGCGACTAGGGAGGCCCTGCCTGGTTCGGACCCCGCGTCTCCCGCTAGGAGTCCAGAATCTTTCCCTCACTGTTTTGGGTTGGAAACCAAGAGCGAGGTTCCCGCCGGTCCTAAAAGGTTAGGATCCCAGTACGGAAGGGATCAGAACACGACAAGCACGAAGAACGTCCTGAGGAGAGGAGGCAGGTGGGGGGAGAATCCCATTATCTGATTCTTTTTAATATCTGGGCTCCCCACCCCCATCCTGGCGCAATACCTCGGGACCAAACGGAAAATGTGGGGCCGACGGAGAGTGAGGATGGAGGTGAAAACCACGCATGGCAATGGGGGGAGAGAGCAGGCGGGCTCGGGGTGGGCGAGGCAGCAAGAGGCCGGGGGTCAGCACACGGAGGTTCCTCCCCCACCCCGCTTCTAGGGGGAGGGGCGCCCCAGTTGCGCGCTCCGGCTGGTCCCTGGCAGGGGAGGGGCGGGGCCGGCTGGGAGACGAGGAGGTGACGTCAGACTTGGCGGAACCAATCGGAGGCTGGGCTGGGGAGGGAGCGTGAAAGGATGAATGAAAAGTCCGGAGCCGGAGCGCGCCCGGGCCAGAGCAGCTGCCGCGGCGGAGGCGGGAGCTGGGGAGGCGAGGCCCGCGAGGCCCTGCTCGCCGCGGCTCGGCGGGGGCTGAGATCCGGCGGGCGCCTGCAACCCGGCGCCCGCGGAGCCCTGGCACCCCGGAGCCGGAGCCACAGCTCTCCGCGTCGGGAGCGCGCCGGGAGGACCGCGCGGGAGAGCACGACGGGCGCCCGGGGCTCGCTGTAAGTGGCCTGGCCGGCTCGGGGCAGCAGGTGGGCGAGCGCCGAGGTGTCCAGCGTGCCTGCGCGTCCGCCTCGAGGGGCCGGCCGAGACCCACACCTTCCTCGGGGCTGCGGGGACCTCCGTGACGACTCCCCTTCCCGATCGGAATCCCCGCCAAGCGCCCGGGCCCCTCTCGCCTCGGACCCCCGGCCATTTTCACAGCCTTGGGTGCTTTGTGGACCTCTTTGTACAAAGCCGTTTTTCTGGGGGTCCCGCGGGGCCTGGGGTTCGGCTCACCTGCACCGCCTGCCCCATCTCGAGTGTGGGGGGGGTCTCCCGGAACCCCTGCCGGGTGGGGTCTTTGCCCTTTCCTTCTCTACCCGAGACGCGCCGGGAGGCCCTGGGGCGCCCGCCCCGCACCGGCTTGCCTCCCTCCCGGTTGCCGGGATTTCCTGTTCCCTCCAGGACGCCGCCGCCGGGGGTTTCCCGCACGATTCGCTGCTCGCCCCCCGGCTTTAGTCAGCGCCCTTGTTCCAGCCCTTCGCGAGCAGGGGGTCCCCGCGGTCCCATGCAGAGGCTTGGGCTGTTGGGCGCGCCCTGCAGCTTCCAGAGGAGGGCGGTGGGGACCCCGTGGGGCCGCGGAGGCCTCTGCCGCGGTCCCTGCGGTCGTCCCGGTTGGTGCGAAAAGCCCGCGAGTCCCTCTTCCTGCGGAAGGACCCGCGGAACTCCCGCTTCTGGCTCGGATGCGAGCGGGAAACCAGGCGCTCGAAGCTCCTGGGGCCCGGGGGCGTGCCCTGGACCTCGACGCCTTCGCGTCCTTCCCACGCCCTTTTCGGTCTCCGTGGTTGTCTGTGTCCTGTACTCGGGGTCCCTTTCGGTCTTGGACTCCGTTTCTCTCTCTGCCCCCACCTCCACCCCTGTCCCCTCTCCCACCTCTACCGCGCGGCTGGGGGTGGCGGTGGCGGCCGGGAGGCTGCGTGGAAGAGGCGGCGGCAGCAGCCAGGAGGCGGGGTTGGTTGTTATCTTTGGTTATCTAGCTGTATGAGTGGTGTGGAGTCTTCATAAAGCTAGATAACCGAAAGTAAAAATAACCCCATACACTGCGCAGAGGGCCCCGGGAAAGCTGGCCGCATGGCGGGCGGGGGAGGCCTACACAAGGGGCTGGAGGCGCGAGGACCCCTGGGCCGCGCGGGCGAGAGGAGACGCCGGTGGCCCGCGGGCCTCAAGACCGAACCCCAACCCGGGTCCGCGCAGGTAGGAGGCGCCGCCGGGGCTCACGTTAGCCCGGTGCTCCCCAAGAGCTGGGACTAGGCAGAAAGGGGCGGGGTGGTTCCTCCCCAGGATGGGGCCTTTTTGGGCAGAATGAGGGGTGGGCCACTGCGCGGGGAGCTGCTCTGAGGCAGAGATCCGTTGACTCTACGTGCAGGGTTCTTTGGGACAGTGTCTAGGGCTCCCGCGCAGGCGTCTCCCGTGGGCGCTGGTGAACAACTTCCCGCAGGCTATGCCCAGCTCTTGCTGGGGTGGGAGGTTTGGGGGGGAACCCCTCCCCCAGACCTCCTTTTCAGGAGAAAAGGAAAGAGCAAAGACCCCCCCACCTATGGTTTTTGCTTTCATCCGCTCCCTGAAGCCTTGTAGGTCTACCCCCCTGGGCTGGGAGCTGGGACTGGCGGAGCGGAGGAGCGGAGGCCTGTGGGGGTAGACCTGGGGTAGACGGGGCGAGGGGGGCGGAGAAGCTGGATTCTGGGGAACGGGCCTGCGGAGTGTTTCTCAGCTCCCTTGTTCCTTATTCTTTACTCTTTCTGGCCCAGGACCTGAGTGTGATATCTTGAAAAGCTTCTCATGCCAGCTTTGTCTTCACTGACCACCTGGGTTGAGTTGGGGTCTTACCTGCCTATCCCACCCTCACGCTCTTAGAAATCACCTCCAAGAGCAAATGGCCTCAAGGAGCTCAAACACAAAGGAATCTGTAGCTTAGTATTTATGCTGCCCAGAGAAAGCAAAGAATTAAGAGAGATTAATCAGGGCCTTTTCTGAAAGAACCCATTTATCTGGTCTGACCTAAATATTTTAAGCAAGTGTTTCAGGGCAGTGGAGAGGAGGATGAGGACGGTCTAGAGTTACTTGGTGGGATAGAAGTAAGTATAACAAAGCCAGAAGTAGCCCCCCTGCATTTATGCCCTCTCCCCGCTCCCTCCCCCACCACCTGGGCCTCCAGAGTGCCCGGAGAAAAAGAGGGCAGGACAACTGGGCAAAATGACCTTTCCCAGACCCCAGTTCCCTGCAGCAACTCACCGTTTCCTCCAGGAACTGACTTCTGTAGCGAGGAAGAGATGATGATCCCATGATACATTCTGAGGGAGAAATCCTGGGGACCCCAGACGAAAACAGTCAGGCTTCAGGGAGCCTAGAGCACACACTGTTTCCTCCCTTTAAAGCTTTGGAGGAAGGAGAGATTAGCTGCCTCTCACCTTTTTTTTTCAACTGTTTGGAATTTGGTATTTTTGAAGGGGGGGCAGTGGAGACAGGATTAGGGAGAAAGGGAGCAGGTTTGGGCAGGGACTGAGAATCCCTAACAACAAGCACGTACCTCCCGGTAACAGCTCCGTTGTCGTCTACATGCTGCTTTTTGACCCTCCGACACTGGGAGGTGGTTATGATTAACCCCATATTACAGATGAGGAACTATAGACCTCAGTGCAAAGCTAGGGTCACGGAATAGTTTCAAACCTGGGGGTGGGGGAGGACCAGGGGGTAAGGTGGGAGATGTGGGTGAGGGGTGAGTGAGAAAGAAGGGGGTCGGACATGGGGGTAGGAAGGCCCTGGAGAGATGGGAAGAGAGCCTCAGGCCTGGTAGTGATCCAAGGAGGGGGAGGGAGCGGGGAGGCGGAGGAAGAAGAGGGGAGGAGGGGGAGGAGAAGCTCCAAGAAAGACAGGCTTTTTTTTTTTCTTTTAAGATTTTATTTATTTATTTGACACAGAGAACACAAGCAGGGGGAGCAGGAGAGGGAGAAGCAGGCTCCCCGCTGAGCAGGGAAACCGATGCTGGGCTTGATCCCAGGACCTCATGATCATGACCCCGAGCCAAAGGGAGGTGTTTAACCCACTAAACCACCCAGGCGCCCCTACTTTTTTTTTTTTTTAACTCTTCATGCTGCTGGTTGGAAGTGTGTGTTTGGGATCTGCTGAGACTCCTCTACCTAAGAACTGTTTTAGGGGCAGTGGGTTTATGCTGACACCATGGGGGGGCCCAGGAGCACATCTGATCTCTGGGTCTCCCAAGGAGACCAGTTGGGAGGGAGCGGGTGGGTGGAGGGCACAAAACAAACACCTGCTCTGGGGAGAGGGGGCAGAGGCCAGGAGGCACGCGGTGGGGGAGTGTGGGCTGCCTTCCGTGTCCACATGGCGGCGCGCGTGGGTGCGCGGGCAGGGCTGCCAGGAGAGGGTCGGGAGGCTGTGCTGGGAGCTATCTGTGTCTGCTCAGGAGGCTGAGAACCTGAGGGACCCGGTGTGAGGCTGGGTGTGTGTGTGTGTGATGGGTCCACAGTGGGCAGGAAGCTTGGCTATCGGATCAGGGATGCCCGACCACGCATAAGTACAAATTCACTGAAGGGACCTACACTCTGGATTGGGGAGAGTCTACCAAATGCAGACATCACCGTCTCCCCCAACTTTTATACCAGATGATGCCTCCTCCAGCTGAGCCCACGAGGCACCCTGATGGGATGGGAGTGCAGGGAAGCTGGCTCCAAGGGGCTCGCAAGGGCCTCACCTGTCACCAGTGAGCGACTCTCTGGCTTGGTACCATCACACCTCTGCGTTGACCAGGTGTTAGTTTTGTTCTTCAGATCTTGCGACATCCACCCATTCCTACTGGGAACCAAGTTCTAAGCTGGTTTCTTCGCCCATTGTCCTCCCTCGCCCTCATCCCAGTGGCTTCCTATTGGATTCTGAGTCCAGGAGTTCAAAGGCAATTTTCTCCTAGATATCTGACTCAAATTTTGATTATCACTCACACCCTCACCTTGGGTCAGATTTTCCTCAATGCGGGGCATTGAAAGGTTTCCCCAGGGGCGCCTGGCTGGCCCTGTCGTTAAGCTGTGATCCTGGGGTCCTGGGATGGAGCCTGCCTTGGGCTCCCTGCTCATCGGGAAGCCTGCTTCTCCCTCTCCCACCCCCCTGCTTGTGTTCCCTCTCTTGCTGTGTCTCTCTCTGTCAAATAATAAATAAAGTCTTAAGAAAGAAAGAAAGAGAAAGAAAGGTTTCCCTACTCATAACCATCATCACCGTCAGCAAGCCTGGGGAGGGACAGAAACAGAAAGAGTGTATGTGACTGGAAGGTCTGGGGTTGGGTGTATCACGGACCAGCTGCAACATCTCCAAGCCTTGGCAGGATGTTTATAGAAGGGGGAGAAGAATGTATGCCCTCAGGATTGTTACATGGAGCAAACAAAGAATTCTATGTAAAAGACCTTGTACTATGTTACTATATCCATGGGCAAGGAGTCTACTTCCCTACAGTTTGCAACAACAGTCCGAAGGCTTATGATTGAGCTCAGAATGCAAGAAAGGACAGCTCTTTGGTATGTTCTTGGCTGAGGATTCCAACGCATTTAAACTTGAAGTTCCTTCCTTCTTTTCCAGCTTTGGAGTCCAGGAGGGACTGCTGGGGACCTGGGTAGGCAGTGTCTGGAGGCTGGTGGAAGGAGGAACAACCTGTTCAGGGAAGAGCCTAGAGTCCTTGGGGCAGAAGGGCCATCGTGTTTTCTCTTAACAGATCGTATCACCTCTTGGTAGCGTACTACAATTCGACTTACTTACGTAGATAGAGAAATATGGCAAGGGTAGATAATAATTCCAAGCTTATTCCATTAAGTTTCTAGGATTACTAAAAACAGTTTATCTAGGTAAAGGACCCGTTAGGCAGTGGGTATAATTAACAGACCAAATGGAGACCTGCCTATCAGCCTGCAGACTTTTCATCCGTACTGAGCAGCTTTAAGAAGGGCTGTTTTCTCTCCTCTTGCCTCCCTGCCTCCCACCTCCCTGACTGCCAAGTTCAATGCCCAAGGTTAGCAACCCTCTGGAGAAACACAGCCCCCTCTTCATTCTTCTGGGTCTGGAAGTCCTACTTGAAGTCTGCACTTCCCAAGGCTTGGGATCTGGAATATTCTGATACTTATTTCTTTGCCTTATTCCCACCCTAATGCTCTGGGC